TTCTATGTAAAACTGTTCCCTCCAATTTCGTTTTATCCCGCCTCCCATTCTTACATATCATGTCCATTCTTCTTGATGGAAAGAGTTGTTTAATACATAGACAACAATCTACTGTGTGGTATGCTTGTCTGAGGGATTTTTTCGTTGACTATGCGATTAATAGTCCCTTGGGCCATTTGTGTAGTCTCCATATATATATACACCCAATGCCGACTCTTTGTTAAGGGTGTTTAGACACCTATAAGACCTTACGAGTTCATTGTAAGTGATCGTTATCTTTACATCACCTACTGTTAGTATGAAAGGCCACATATTGTTAAATAAAGACATTTCCTTCCAATCAGGTGTTATCCCTCAACGTTAAAATTTTAACTTAAAATGATGTGTGTTTGGACTTTTGAATTGTAAAAATATTGTATTGCAAAACATAAGCTTTCTCCTCGATATCGTAAATTATCAAGAAATATCAACGCCTATGTGCTCTTTAAACATGATAAACAAATCAAGCGGAGAATCGTCATAGGAGAATTGTTTTTCTTTCCAAAGATCTTTTAATGTCCCCACTAATTCGATTATGTGTTCGTGTTTTTATTTCATGCCAGTCGTACGACCAACCTCTCTCGATCAGCTTCTCATCATCGCAGTGGTGTACCTTGTAATATCTACACAGAAACAACTTAAAAATCGCGGAAGGTCTACTCCTATGTCTTTAAAATGTTCTTAATATGGTATGAGGTTATTCAAAAATAAATCTGCATAAACTCTACGGTATCATCATTTGTAAGTATACGCAATCTTTCGACCACCTTTTATATTCGATTTCTACACAATCGTAGGCTGTTCATGAGCATAAATGTACTCCGCATATGAAAAAGGTGACTTTATCGCTGTGTCCTGAATAGAAAAACCCGTTAAGAGCAAGCTGGTTTGGAGTCTGATGCACTTGTTGTGGCCAGTCCTTAAAGGTTTTTATACGGTCCTCACAATTAATTATTGACTAATACTCTGCTCGAATTTGATATGAAGTATGGCGGATATAATCTGCTGTAATATCTGACATGTCAATGTATAAAATCGCATATACACTGTAAGCTTTCCGATAGAAACATTTTTTTTTTTTAAATCTCCTGTTATTTTTATACTCTTGCCATCTGCTTTTAGAGTGTGGAAAGAATTGAGATTTTAAGAATTTAATTATGCTTACAATGTACTGAAAGAAGGAAACTTGTATATGCATGATTTCTTTTTTCTTTAGATCAAATTGATGCTTTATTTGAATAGATGTAGTATGAGGTTCCATTTTCCTCATACATTTCCATATACATATCATCAGAATTGGAATAAAACAGAGAGCAGCTTCAGATATCATGATTCCTGTTTAGTGTTTAGTGAATGATTCCTGTTCAGCGGTTAATGAATTGAGTGTTTCAATAAATTGATTGGTTTAATCATATAGGATCTGAGTGTTAATTTGCATAACTTTTAGTGAGATCAAGTTTCAAAACGCTTTAGGTTAACAACTTCAAATCGAGTGTAAAGTTGCACAACTTCTAATGAGTTAAACTTTCAAAATGCCACAGGTTATCAACTTCAAATGTATAGATTATTAGTGTGATGTTGAATAACTTCTAGTTAGTAGGATGATTATTTTTTTTAATTGCTTTAGGTTAACTAGATGTGAACCAGCTGCTATACAAAGTGGTGTGTGTGCTGATTATGAAATCCTATTACTGTTCATCAAATATCAATCTTATATCTTTTACATAAATTGTGATACTTGAGTTGGCTATATTTTGATATTAATTTATGTAGTAATAACATATGAATGATGATTCGATGCTGTTTTGAACAATATACACCATATTTGTTGATTTTGTTTTAGAATTAACATTTTTATGTCGTGGTAACATATCTTATAGAAAAATATAGTTTTGTTTCTATTGTATAAACAAAGTATCTCAAAAGGATTTAGTTTGAATAAAACTATAGCTGAATCATATAAATTATTCTTACTGTTTGTTGTACTTCTTTGAATAAACTCTAATTTGTGCTATGCTAAAAATGTTTCCACATATTGAAGTTATACAAACTGGATTCTAAAGAGTTAAATATTTTTGTGACATTATATCATATGAACTTTTAAAAGTAAGAAAACTAAATTTTACATTATCAACTCACACTTAAAAAAAAAAATCCTAAACCTACCTTTTGTCAATATTTAAAAAAGAAAAAGAAAAAAACACCTACTTTATGATAAGCTTAACTTGTTTTCATTAATGTTTAATAGAATGTTGTGTATATATTGTTGATTAGAAAAGTTTTTTGATTGGGCATACTATGTATAGCCTCATAGACATTGTTGTATCTACTAGTCCTAGCCGTTGGCTATGGTGATGATTGAACTCACACATTTGGAAATTTTATCTCTCACCTGATTTACACATGTCGCATTCAGCGGTCATCTGGATTTGTTAAAATATAAAACTAATGATAAAAAGCATGTTCGTTTACACACAATTTAATTATTTAAATATACATACTGTTGACAATATAATAAAGACAAGACAGACAATCAGTTAACATTTTAATAACAATACATGGGTTAGCGAATACATATTCGAGCTGTTGTCTTAAAAGTCTCCACATAAATGAATAAAAATGATAGTCGTTATGGTTTTATGGAGCGACTTTCTGACCGGTGTATAGATTGAATGATTTCATTAATCTTCTTTCTGCTTCACATCTTTTTTTAGTTCCCTACTTCTCCATTCTAAGCTAGACACATTTGAAATATAATCGTTTCTCATGTCGTTGTGAATTTTCCATCGATTCACTTCCTTTATAAAATGTCCTATAACATCATTTTCAAATGATTGTTGATACAAGTAAAAGCATACACAAAATTAAATAAAGAGTCTCGATATAAGTTCTTTCATTCGCCATTTTAGGGGTTGTTTTAAGTGTGCATATCAAACAAAGAGTCTCAGTCTGACAATGTCTATTTTCTTCACAAATTTGAGAATGTTCCCACCGAAATGTTGTTTCACATAGTCTTCAGAGCGGAAACACTCCTCTTCCATTAACGGTTGTAACACGTGTGAAGGAATACAGGACTGAATAGTAAATTGGCGCCACAGTTTCTCCACTTTTAAATGGTTGACGGTTGACAGGGCTTCTTCGAAATATCTATCTATTATGTCTTCACTATCAAGTATGACACAGACATGTCCTTGCTGGTTAGCTTGACCCTCCACACATCCTGCAAATACACACAATTTTGATGTGACGTCTTTCACGCTCAATGTATAAGCTAGGCATAACAAGTTTTTCCACAATCCTCTTATAAGCGTTTTTCTCGATATCATGTTTGATATAAGCATGAAGTCTCTCCTTAAATATTTCCATTATAATTTACCACGATATTGTGGAACCTTAGACGTATAGGGGTATGACCATTTGTAAATACACACAATCAGTCGACCACTTTTTATGTTCGATATCAACATAGTCCGAGAATGCCCAGGAGCTTAAATGTACTCCACACATGAAACAGGTGACTTTATCGCTATGTCCTGAATAAAAAAAAATCCGTTACGGGCGAGTTCGTTTGGAGTCTGACGTATTTGTTGGGGCCAGTTTTGGAACGGATTTTTTTTTTATATACTCAATTGTTACATTGTCATGTTAAACTTTTAAAGATGTTGATTATTAAATTTGTTAGTATTGAAACATTATATGTGTCGAAAATCAAGTGTTAATAAGTTTGAATTATTCAGTCGATATATCCTAACATAGTTGATTTTCTTGTTGGCTTAAATGATGTGTACATTTTGTTGATTAATAAAATTGTTTGTGTTGAATCTTTCATTCTAAGTCCATTTTTGTTTTTAGTTTCTGGTGAGGTTTTCCTACTACATTGCTGCTGTTGACGTGCTTTGTATCATGTTAATAGCTTTTACTTGTGGTTTAGCTATTCATGAAATATACTTTGTAGCAGAGTGTCTTGCCGATAATACTGATAAATAGTCAATGTATTCCATTTGCGTCCTGTCGTGACTTGTTTAACCGAATTCAAAGGCGTCAATAACTAAAGACTCTATTTAACTCTCCACACTATTGTGTTATACATTTCAGCTATACCCTACACACGTGTCCTGCTGAGTTACCTTAAATTCTCCTAACAACATACATTTCAGAACATTGACACCTATCGGTGAGAAGAAGTTTAGCAATAGGCCTAGTCATGAAGATGAAAAACCTGTAACCGGCCGACATCTCAGATAAAGGTTAACCTTGTATATATATATATATAAAATTTGATTCTGTCGTCATGATTTGTTTTAATCAGAGACTATTTCTAACTATAAACAAAACATCAATCCGCCTGAAGAAGCCCTAGAAGGCAGAAAGGCCTAGCGGTCGATCTGAAAAATTTGTTTTTATTCTATATTTTCCTTTGCAAGGACTTATTTATTTATTATCTACTATATATATATATTTCTATATATATATATATATACACAGTCATGTTCAATCATGCATCACTCCCTCTACACAATCCCTAATCTGTATCTCGGTATGGATTTTATCGTAGACATGACCTGTTTAAATTTGATTCTGTCGTCATGATTTGTTTTAATCAGAGACTATTTCTAACTATAAACAAAAGATCAACCCTCCATACTATTGTGTAAATCCTACTGAGGTGGGGGATGTTAGACATTCCTGTGACGGTAGATAGATATGTCGCCTCTGATCTAGGTTACCCTCTAAGGTTAAGGTTACCTCCACACATTCTTGTGACGTTAGACATTCCTGTAATGTCAGATAGATATGTCACCTTGACCTAGGTCAAGGTTACCCTCTACCTATATTTACCGGTGTCACCTCCACACTCCCTCCACAAAAATGTGTGGAGGAGATACCGGTATATATACCCTACTTCTCTATTCCTCTCATACAAAAATGACAATGTAACATTGACCTTGTTTGTTTTGTAGACATATCAAGCTTGAGGCCGAGCTGGCGGAGATGAACTGGCGGGTACGATGGGAAGACATCATGTTTGGTTCCATGGAAAACGATAAGAAGCTTAAAAGACAGGGGAGCAGTGTGAGCCTAAACAGGGTAGGTCATAGGTCATAGGTCATAGGTCATAGTGGCATTTTAGCCAATCACGTCCATCGAGCGTGCTTGACTGCACTGTGAGTGTAGATTCACATACTGTAAAAGTGGCAATTTTCGCGGTGTGGTCATTCTCGCTTTGAGTACATAAGCGCGAAAATATCTACCCGCGAATATGTTTTTTCATAGAATAAGAACCGTTATCAACGTGGAAATTGCCACACTGCCACCAGTTTAACGACTTGCAACATGAATATTTCCACATCTAAACTTCCTCTTATACAGTATAACATTTGATAAAATCAGCAAAAGCGGGACACGAAATATAATTTCAATATTAATATGCAGTTATGCTAAGTTGATAATTAGAAGAAGTGGTGGTGTCGTAGTAGACACATACAAGAGCTTATTTTATCAATCAGCGATTTTGATAAAAAAATAAATACTCAAATCTTATGGTAAGTAACTGTTGAAAGACTGATGAAATTTAACTGCACAAAAAATAATGTATGTTTAAAATGAACAATTTCAACATCTTTAAACAATTAATATCGTGATGAAATTAATATGTGATGAAATTAACATCGTGATGAAATTAATATCGTGATGAAATGGTAAAAAATCCGTTTCAATCGATTGGAATTTCATAAAACATTCCCACTTAACTAACCACACAATTACATCAAAGTTTTGCTTTATACACGAACAAAGTATGTACGAATTACATTGGTTTGTGTATGGAGAAAAACGTTGACATTACACATTTCCAAACTGATTAAATGACCTTAGCTGTTGATAGGACGTTAAACAAAATCAAACAAACAAACAAACAAACTGATTAATTGTATTGATGTAGGCTATACACTTCAAGTAATGGTCATTACATAACACTGTACAAAACCCAACTGCAACAAACCAAATGCATCTACAAATGACACACCTAGGTCCAGTTAGTTTAGTCGAACTAGCGTAGTACCGTTCTTATCATATTTGGCCTTTATCCAGTGTACCTTCCGCGTACCCTTTTCTTTCATGTTGTAAAGAAAACTCCTTAATCGATCGCGAGTTTCTAAACTGAGGTAGTGGCCATTTCAGCAAAGTTTTCAATACAGTTATGGTGGATATTACATTGTTTTGATCACATCTATTGAAGTCGAAGTTAAAAAGGGGGGTTTTCTCGACGTCCAGTACATATGTGTGTGGTCAGTGTTGGTCAGATGTGTTATTTGACGACAAACGTCTTAGTTGTAATGTCGGTATGTGTGAAAAGGTTTAAACAACATAATGATATTGTATCGTTACTACTGTATTATAATACGTACCGTATCGTTTCTACTGTATCGTGATATGTATTGTATCGTCACAATTATTATCGTGATACGTATCGTACCGTGGTCACTGTATCGTAACAAAAGTATCGTGGTACGTACTGTACCGGGATATGTACCATATCGATACTTCTATATCGGGATACTTCAATATATTGAGAACTATATTACTGTATCTTGATATATTTCATATACTATCATCCGGGTACTATAAACGTTTTTCTATAAAGGATAAAGATATCGCCGATAACATTTACGGTGTTTATCGTGTACATATACATTGTATACATATTTTAGTGTAGATGAGTTCTATAACCCAAATAGCTTTAGAGTCTTAAAGATAACAAATACATTATGTATTTCACGTGCGTTTGAGTGGTATTTCTACATTTACGTTAACACGTGCACTAAAATACGACGGAGGAACCTTTTCTCTACAGACCAACGGCGACGCATGCGCAGAGGGGCGTGTGTTGATTGAGCGGGCGGACGTCGTCGACCAGTCCTGGTGTAAATGTGGACACTGTGAAGATGCTGACCGACAAAGACGACTGTGCTGCCGCCAACTGGAATTGTTTGGCATTTTCCAAGAGGAAGGAACTTGCGTGACAAAATCTAAAGACTTCCTGGATGTTGTACTCAATAAAGAAGTTCTCACTTCCGTCTTCATTCACGTGATGTTGGTGCGAAGACAACGAGGGGCAGCACCTGTTGCCCTCAGCCCATGGTAAGTGTTAATCGTATGTCAACTGTTCCATGTTCTTTCGCTTTTCGCCACCATTCTTAATGCCATATTATATTGGCGATTCCTTGAACAAGTCTTACCCGATATAGTTAAAAACTTTTTTTCGGGAGAGCAGATTTCCCCGTGTTTGGTAAAAGCAACTTTCTTTCTGAGACTAACTTTTGTGCAACTTTAAGGTCATTTCCAGAGGAATTTTGAAGCGGATCAATCTATAACAGTGAAAAAATCACCAAGAGGCCCCCTAGAAAGAAAGAAAACTTACATTATTACCTGCCTTTATTATACTATCAACGTTTTATTTGGCAATTGGTGGCAATTAAGCGAAAGTTAATTGCATATTACTGTTATCCACTTTCTAAGATAAATATTCTCTTTGTATTATCATCCACTAATGCACTAATGAGTCTTGTTGATCTCGAACAAGTTCGGGATAATCTTTATTTACTTGAAAGTCTTTTTTTCTAATTATTATTAATTATCTTATGTGTTTAGCAATATGTTAATGTCAATTCAGATAATATATCTATTGTTGTTTATTTGGGAAGTGATTTCCTGAATAATCCTTTCGAGGCACACAGTTTTATTCTTCAATATCATTTGTTTTACAGGAGATCATCATGTATTGCCTTCTTTTTCATATTAAATTGATGAGAAAAGTTCATGTGAATTTCAAAATTACTTTAAATCTTTCCGTTAAATACGATGATATTTTTTCATCATAAATATTCGATTGATTGCATACTATATTAATGTTCATCATACCTGTGTATTGTAAAAAGCTTGCAGACATAGTAACTCCAATAAGTTTCTAAAATACTCATTCAAGTAAGAAACATATACTCTATATTTTCATTTCGCCGATTTCTGGTTCATGCTGTTTCATATGTTTTTGGTATGAAAGAACTATATAAAGTTGGCTCCGAAAATACGATTTAAAACTAATTAAAAAAAAAAGGAAAAGGAAGAAAACAGAAAAACAAAAAAAAACAATAAAAACGATAAATAAAAACAATCTCAAAAACCGTGAAAACAAAGTAAACACGCTATGGTACAGAATATATTCCTTGTTTGAATATATATATTCGTATCTATATAATTTGCGGACTGTTTGTAAATTCTAATTATTTTTTTAACTAGTGTTTTGAAAGCATTTATCCTGGTTTACATGACGTATATTATGCCATTAATATTGTTCGGGAATTCTTTGTGAAACCTTTTGCAAACCTCGTCAAAAGGGCGTTTGAAACAAGAACAGGATCAGAATAAACTACAAAAAATAGACATTTTGATGTATGTATTGCATGTAAATTGTGAAAAATAAATCAAATTAATCAGAATGTAATTTGAGCCTATGGAAGCTACGATCGGATAAATGACGAATGACATACCAATATCGGCTTTTTTTTAATGTAAAAGTAATATTTCAGCAGCATGTGTCGAAATTAAAGGATTATATAAAAGTAATAACAGATAGCATAACTGTTAATGATTAAAAAAACAACTAAATACATTTAAAAAACACGTTATAAGGTAAATTAAGATAAGTGATAAGAAAAAAAAAAAAAAAAAAACAAATACACGAATTTTTATTTAATTGATCGTAAATGGTTTAAATCAATATGTCATTCTAACACTTTAGATGATATGTTGATCTTTCTGTAAGGTTGTTAATACAAGCTATATATGTTACCTGACTTTCACAATTATTACCTATTCTGAAGATTTTCGGAAAATAAGGAAAATATTTTATTAACTGCATTCATTCAAAAAACACATATTTAACCTAATCACGTATTGAAAATACTCAGAACCTATTATTTGCAAATCCTCACTAGCTTCACGATTATTACCGTTTATGTTTAGATCGATAATGTTGCCGTTAGTGTAAATATTTCATTGTTTTTAATCAATGATGAATTTGATTCCGTACATATCTTTTGTTATAAATTGTAACTCTTTTTGTAAATATACTACATCAAATATTTCCATTGATGAAACAGTGAACAAATCAGGTTTAAAGAACTGGACCAATGATACGGTTATAATAAGCGTCTGGAACTAAATAGCATACATTAAGTATAATAAGAACCGTTGATATTAAGATACGGTATCAAAATTAAAAATTAAAGCCCTTCGAAATGTTCACATAAATAAAGAATTTTATTACACATATTTCATTTAAAGCTTGTTTAAGCTAGTTTATCTGAAAATAAAGTGTTCTGTTGTATTAAGGTTCATAATCTCATGACACAATCAAACTGTCACACATAGCGTGTGGACACGATGACAAACATCGTTTCCCTCCGATGAATAATTTTGCATACAAGAACATGCATGACAAAGGTTTAATATAATGTGGTTATTTGTAGATAAAACACAAGGGTCACAATAAGTATCAGTAAGCTAACATAAGATCATAGGTCTATATTCAAATAATTTGAAAATATTGGATGTCTAAGACAACACCGCTGATTTGTATCCTTAGGTTAGCTTCCTTTCCGATTAACGAACATGTTTGGAGGTGTATGCAATAAGAGTTTTCATATATGAACACAATAAATGTCTAAATATACCGAAATCAATAAAATATATGTTTTTCGAAAATAAGATAAACCTAGTAAAACTTATATATTAATCAATATTTAGATCAAACAAATGTTTACCACATAGTAGTCACAAGATTCTTTTAATCAAATAAAATGAAATCTGAGCTGCAATAATAATCATAATCAAGACGGCGATTAAGGAATAAATCCTGATTATCAATAATAATAAGATATGTTTAATATGTAATGTCAAATAAACCACGAAAATTTATTTCAGGAAATTGCTTCCCAAATTGACCAATCAGCATCTGTCCCCATAATTGACAGATATTGTTATCTTAAGGTGATGTTTCTGTGTACTGGACATTTTCGCTGCAGTTTAAT